TTTTTTTTTTTTGAGACAGGGTCTTGCTCCTTTGCCCAGGCTAGACTGCAGTGGTCTCATCACAGCTCACTGCAGCCTCCAACTCCTGGGTTGATCCTCCCACCTCAGCCTCCTGAGTGGGACTATAGATGCCCATTACTATGCCTGGCTAATTTTTTCTATTTTTAGTAGAGATGGGGTCTTGGTCTTGCTCAAGCTGGTCTCAAACTCCTGAGCACAAGTAGTCCTCCTGCGTTGGCCTCTCAAAGTGCTGGGATTATAGGTGTGAGCCGCTGTGCCCAGGTTTTTTTACTAGTGATACTTAAAAGCAAAAAATCCCTCTGTCTAAAATGGCTAAGAGCAGTGGTTTTTTAACCATTAATGGTTCATGAAGTCAATTAAGTAGCTTCTGATCACAGAAAGGAAAGGAAATAGAAAACTCACAATACTTGTCAGGAAGAATAAATACTGTTTCATGAACCTTTTCAGTTATGTTCCTGTACCTAGCAAAACACCACATAATGAGAAAAACATAGGTTGAGGCAATGAGGAAAACAGTGCCACTTCATGGCTACAACCGCTGCCTGGGTTACTATAGTCCTCATGGTCTTGCTTGAAGGAGATAGTAAGGCCCCATTTGGGGGCTGCTTGGAGCTGTTGTCTAGGCATAGAGCAGTCAGCATCTGCTGTCCTTAACTGAAGGGGAAATGCATTTGTCATTTAAATGTTGGAATGGTTTTGAGAGGACTTTCCTTGGGGTTGTTCTGTGGAGAGGGGATTCTTGGAGGTCGTTTATTCCCTACAAGACCAATCTGGTTACTGCCAGTTCCCACCTTCCCAGGCTCCCTCTGGAGGCTCTCACCAGATGTCATGCCCCTTTCCTCCTTCTCTGTGTTTCCAGAGCATGCTCCACCCTGCCTTCTGGAGCCCACCTGGCAGGAGCAGGCCCCTCTGGGGGCATGGGGAGTCCCTCCTCTCGGCACAAGCAGAGACAGCTCCAGTTCTTATCTCTTTTGGGGCAGAAGCTCTGACTGGGACAGAGTGTGCCTCCAGCTAGCCATGGCCTTCAGGCTATTTTTGGAAAGGGGAGTGTGATAGGTGAGTCTCAGGCATAGCAAGAAGGTGCTATGTGTTCTAGGTGTTCACGCCACCCCAGTATTAGGCATGGGGCTGCTGAGAAGCACAGGGCTCATTTAGGACTTCCTCCTGCACCTTGGGGAAGCCTAAGCCTTCCCTCTCCTCCATGGCAAACAGTTCATCTGTGTTCTGGTTCACATCTGTTCTCATGGGTGTCTGTGACACAGATGTTCCCTGTACCTTAGTGGAGCTAAGAACACATGGATGAACTTCACTTTAGCCAGAAGATTTGAGAGCTTTGTGCTTAGGCTTTACCCACATTAGGTTGGTGGGGCCGGAGAGCGCCTTCTATCTTGTGGAGAAAGACGTTGAAAGCCATGGTTTGGAGACTCGTGGTTGTTCCTTCCTACCCCTTCCTCTGTGAAGAACTCATGGCTTTCCAGAGGGCTCCTGGATGGTGGTGACACTGGGAGCTAAGATAGAATTCAGTGTTTAGAGTGCCACGCAACCACTTGCTTTCCTCCTGTGGTCACTGTGTGTGGTTAGTGGGTCTCAGCATCTTCCTCATTCCTTCCCTCTGTCCTCAGCATCAGCCCCAGCCTTGAGCAGACCTCTCCATGGGGTTCCTGCATGGTGAGGGCTGTATGGTGGGTGCTCCCTGATGGGCAAGGGAGAGAAGGCTGCCTTGAACATGTTTTGCAAGGAGAATGGGGCCCAGCAGAGTGGCTGTGCAGAGTGTGAGGGAGGAAGCCCGTGGGCTGCAGGCTGGGGAAGAGCTGGAGTTAATTGGAAAGGCAGGGAGGGGTGAGAGGCAAGCAGGAGGTGGCTCTGTTAAGGTAGGGTTGGGGAGGGGCCAGAGGAGTGGGCACTGGGCACCAGGTAGCTGAGGCATCATGGATTGCAGAGGCCAGGGTGGGGTTGGCATGGTAGGAGGCTCCAAAGGCCGAGGGCTCAGTCTGAAGCCAGTAGGGAATGTGATCACAACCAGGGAGTGGAGTAGGCATCCCAGATGAGCTGAGCTCCTGGTGTAGGAGCTGATCTGTGGGTGCTAAGGCCTGAGTACTAGCAAATGGGCATTTTCTGCCCAGTGGATTTGTTAAGAGATATTTTAGAAGCTATCTCCCATTCTAAAATATACTTGCTATAGGAACCTTAGGGGAGAAGAGTGCAGAGGACTGCTGACCGTTAGTGTTAGCAGGAAGGTGGCTTGTTCCCTGAGCTGGGGAATGTGCACAGCAGGAAGGTGACAGGTTGTGCTTCTTTAGAGTTGTGGGTTGTGTGTGGGGGTGCCAGTGTGTGGTTGTCAACCCTGCTGAGCCTTAGTTTCTGTGTCAGTAACAGAAGCTTGGACCAGATTGTCTCCAGGGCTCCCCAAAGCTCTAAAATACTCTTCCCAGATTCCTAACCACAGATCAGTTGATGGCCTAGGCCCCTCAACATCGCCTGCTGTCAATTGCCATAGACTTCATCTTCTCTCAGGAGGATCCTTCTGGAATTGAGGCGTGACGTGCTCTGTGTTCTTCCTTAGGGCGTGGCGGTTTGTGGGGGTCAAGCTCTCATGGCTGCAGCTAGTGTTACCCCCCCTGGCTCTCTGGACCTGCTGCAGCCTGGCTTCTCCAAGAGCCTTCTGGGGACCAAGCTAGAGGCCAAGTACCTGTGTTCTGCCTGCAGGAACGTCCTACGCAGGCCCTTCCAGGCCCAGTGCGGCCACCGGTACTGCTCCTTCTGCCTGACCACCATCCTCAGGTTTGTGTGGCCAGCAGGCCCTGGGAGGCAGGGGATGGGTGGGTGCTACTGGCTTTAGTACTGCCTAGCTTGGAGGCCCCTGGCAGCCTTGGCCCAGATTGGATGTGCTTTAAGGTATAAGCAACTCCCTGATTTCAGAGGCTTATTAGCACAATGAACATAAATTAATAGTTGAAAATACTAATTTCAGGCTCAGCGCCTATAGCTCAGCCGCTAAAGCGCCAGCCCAGCCCTGCCAAACGATGACAACTCCAGCCAAAAAATAGCCGGGTGTTGTGGCAGGTGCCTGTAGTCCCAGCTACTTGTGAGGCTGAGGCAAGGGAATCTCTTAAGCCCAAGAGTTGGAGGTTTCTGTGAGCCGTGATGTTACAGTACTCTACCGAGGGTGACGTAATAAAATTCTATGTAAAATAATAATAATAATAATCATAAAATACTAATGTGAGATGCTATTTTGGATATGTGGCTTTTCAAATACAGTACCTCATTATTTTTGCCTGTTTTTTCTTTTAACGTAGGTACTAGAAAGTGTGAAGTTAGGCTATAGCTCACTTTCTGGCTGCACTGGACAGTTAAAGATAAGCCTTATTCTGTGAGGTGACTGGTCAGTGAGTATCTACGGTAGAGTCAGAGCTGAGAGGTGCGAGGCTCTGTGCACATCACTGTGGGGCTGGTCCTGTGGGGAGAGACAGACACCTGTGTTTCCAGAGCCTTTGTCTTTGGGTGATGAGCTCTTCAGAGAGCCTTGTTCAGAGGTGGAAGGAATGATGTGGCCTCAGAGATCTAGACCCTGGACACCCCCTTTCAGGAGTTGAATATTATCTATTTTAAATCTTTAAACAATTGTACAATTAATATATGCTTGGTGATTTCATCAAAGATGAGAAAACTTAAATTGTGATGTGGAGTTATGTTTTTGAGCTGAAGCAAATGGTGTTCATTTATTCTTGGTAGTGAGTTTCACAGTGAGAGTTGTTTTTTTTTTGTTGTTGTTGTTATTTTACCCACTAGTTCCGGACCTCAGAATTGTGCTGCTTGTGTTCATGAGGGCATATACGAAGAAGGTGTTTCTATTTTAGAAAGCAGTTCGGTGAGTAAAATGTCTTAAAGCCAAAAATGTTAACAGAAAATGTTTTTTAATTTTCTTTAACAACACTGATGGCAGAATGAAACTTCAGAAGCTAGAAGTTGCTCCTTAGCAGATTTGATGATGTTTAGGGTTTGGAGAGATTGAGATCAAGAAGTGAGTTAGGCGGTGCCTGTAGCTCAGTGAGTAGGGCACCAACCACATACACCAAGGCTAGTGGGTTTGAACCCTGCCTGGGTCAGCTATAAAACAACAATGACAATTGCAACAACAATAACAAAGTAGCTGGTTGTTGTGGTGGGCAC